CTAAAACTAAAAAGTGAAGAGCAGGTGTCTTTGTTGGGCATAACCCAGAGTATATGGGCTTAATGCGTAGATGATTGTGTTAGGTTCTCTGGCCTGTCATGCCTGTGGCCAGACTAGACAGTCCTACTCAATTGCTCTACTACCTTACATACGCTACCAACATATTCAGTAGAAGATAATATGGAAGGTAAGAAGAAGGTAGCAATGAGAAATGGGATACAAGAAAGACAGTAACAAGGATGAAAAATTTATATTAGTACTTAACTGTTAAAAAGGTGCTTTTCATTAACAGATTTGAAGTAACTTTTCCAATAAGCTAGTGAAAACTTTTATTATTGCCATTAAAAATGGGAAAACTCTGCTGAATATTTCATTCTTTTATAAATTACTAGGTAATACTGTATCAGGTGATACCAGGGACATTCTTCAGCACGGGGATGTGTAGTGATGCTGCCATCTCACAACTGCTTTGCAAGTCCTAATATACGTAAGGCTTGGGCCAGCGCTCGCCACACGCAGGGAGAAGAGTCACCCTGACTTTTCCCGTCTTACAGAATCGTCTCCTGGTTGCAGGAGTGTTTTCTATCTATCTCAACTAAAATAAAAGGAATACCGTGGTTTCTATCACAGTCTTATTCAAATCCAAACTTACTGGTGACATAGTAATTTTGTTGAATCACAGACAAACAAAAGAGCTTTACCAAGTTACAGAAGCACAAGATGTAATATGACTACCATCAAGGTAGATTTTGATAGCTCGATTCTTTCCAGTCTTTTATGATGACATCTCCAGCCATAGGTTTGTTGGCTTGTTTATGTATCGATTACATCTATTGGGGATGAAAGCATTAATAACATATTTTCTTTAACTGATTATATTTGTTCTTGCCATCTGTTTGAATGCTGGCTGGGATTGTTTCCTGGTTAGCTTTAGAGCACAAATTGCTTCGGGAGACAGAGAGTAGATGTCATTTCTCATGACTTTTTTGTCCTCAGAATGCCTCACAAAGCAAGAATTTCCAAACTGTCAGTCATAAATTTGTCTCTTCCTTTACCAGCAAAGTTAATACATTTTGAAATAATAGAGGTTTAAAAGTTCACTAGGAAAATATTGGTTTTCATTGCTCATTGAAAAAGCTTTTATTTGTACGTAACTGTAATTCAACATCGTGTTAACATCATCAGGTACATAACACAGTAAATGCTTACCTGTTTTAACTAAAACTCCAGCTAATTCTAATCTAATTAGTAAAATGTGTTGATGGTTTGTTTCTACAGCATTCTGCATCGTGTTCTGGCTGGTTTGCTCAGGCTTCTCCAAGTCATTGTTGTTTGGATCGGGATGCTGGTATTTTTCCTTGAAATACAGCTGTCCGGAGTGACTGTATTAGCTGACTGTGACAGCTAAGATTCTCAGTTTCTTAACAGTGCAATTCCAAAAAATGCATCTGGAAATTTTCATGGTCCTGTAATCAAATAAAAAAGATTCTAAGTAGGCTATTTTTAAAAAGGTTTGGAACATACTACCAGAGTTTAGGCTTCTGATTGTGAAGCTGAGAGGGAGAATAATAACCTGCTGGAGTAAGGGAAAGATCTGGCATGTACATTTGTAAAGATCATATTAGATTTCTCTAATATGAAAATGAAAATTCTGAGCAGGTTCCCTTCCCGCATGGACACTGCCCCTTCCTGGTGCCTTCTGCTAAGCCTCGATTTTGCTCTCTGATTGGAAATAATCCTTCCCTTGAACGTTGGTGTCATCCCCAAGCCTGGATTCTTTCTCTGTCTGCTCTGCTGTTCCACTCTGCTTCTTTTCCTGTCACAAAGAGGCCAGCAGTTGCGACATTTAGGGAAACATAGCTCTTGTATAGAATATATTGCTCCATTCCTTTACCTCCA